GGTAAGAGTGATATAGCGACCGATAAGCGTTGATAAGAGTGAGACTCACATCGTTTCCTTACAATCCCTGCAACAACTACTGTCACCATAAATCAAATATTGGAGGCACGGTCCGCGATAAGGAGCGTTGGGGATGGTGTTAAAATTTAGAAGGAAACTTACTAAGAGATTCGTCTGTGAAGAGAAAATGCCACAGGAAAGATCGGAAACATTTTAATAGATCCCCTCCAGCCTCAAACATTTGTGCGGTTGAGAGTCAAAAGAGCGCCTGCTGGAGGAGTCCAGTCGGCTGATTCATTGCAATGAACCCTGTGACTGCACGAGAGACAAGCATCGATTCTATACAGATTGTCCGCTGGTATCGCTTTTGGCTAGAAGGGGACTTCGAAGGCGAAGTCTGGAGACGGGGTTACCGGAAAAACAGAAACGTCGCTGGGATAAGTTTGCGCCCCAACTCTGCCTAAAAACGTTTTGCAGCGAAAGTGGTACAAAGTGTCCTTGTGGAACACACTACTACTCCCACACAATCTTTTGCATTATCATAGGTCATCGCAGACCGTTCCTTCATGGGACAGGAAAGCAATGAGTGAATAGGTTTCTTTCCTCCCAACACAATAGAATCATGACCGATTCAACTGCTAAACTTTCGAGTTCCGAAAAATGAGGATGTTGATGATGTTTGTCTGAGTAGTGATAAGAGCAATAAGAAATGAGTAGGTGGAACCTGCCTTACCACTGCTGCTAAACTACTGTGTAAGCCATTTTATCCTCAGAACATTGATACTACTGAAATGTTTTCGACCGCTAAACTCTCTGTATTTCCAGCGAATGCTATAATAGATGTTTTTGCAAGCGGAGAAGCACGTTACATTTGGTCATTAATGGGAAGAATAGGGATGGATTGGTGGTGTTTCAATGACTGCAGTTAGCCCAAGGGTTCTTTACAGATGTCACGCCAGTGATAGTTTCGTAAGACTCACCATGCGATGTGCGTATACAAATCTAGCGGTTGAGTATAATTCTCCAGTGATCTCTAGGAACAAGATAGCACCAACTGCGTTGACGTAGGCGGATCATAGTTCCGCACTCCAGTATGAAATATACTTCTACCGAAATTAAAGGAGAAAAAGCTCAGAGCACGGCCAAGAATCACGTTGTGGAAAGTCGCTCGGTCGATACGACCTCTCTGGAAGGAGTGTCCACACGACTCTCTTTAATTGTTTTCGAGATATTGTCACGGCTGTGTCGCTTGTTGTGGGTTTGAGAGGGTCCTTAGATTTTCGATG